CAGGTTGGTTCCTGTACATATCTTTCATCCCCTTCCACTCCCCTCCCTCTACTTCGCTCTGTATCTTCGTTCCCCTCCCTCTTTTGTAAAAATAATGGTGTAAATACAACACTACTAAAGACTATGTAGATCTAACAAGCCTCTGCTGACTCCCCAGTAAGAGACAGTCCCCTTAGTGTCAGCTCTTGTGTTCCAACTGACGTTTCCACTAGTATAACAAATACCCAAGACAAACCAATATGTAGACATAAAGGTTTACTCTGGCTTACGGTTCTGGGTGTTTGGTCTGTGGGTCACTTGGCCCTGTTGCTTCTGGGGCCATGGTGACACAGCCCATCGTGGCAGGGAGTGAGTGTGTGGTGGAGCAGAGCTCTCACCCATGGCAGCGGGGAGGAAGACATATGGGAGCTTCCGTTAGGGGCAGGAATTAAGGTGACAGTTTTTAGGGGAATCCAGGCTTCACACAGTGCTTCAGAGACTAAATTTTTTTTGTACTGGAATCAAACTCAGGACCTTACGCTTGCCAAGCAGATGCCGTGCCACTGAGACTGAATGTGTAGTTCTATTAGGCCGCAGGTCTCTGGGCATGTATGGTGTTGATGATCCAAAGAAAGAAAAGATGGGAGCATAAATCGTTCATGAGTCCGAGCAGGGACATATCTTAGATTTCTTTCTCTTTTTTAAGTTTACTTATTTTATTTTGAAGAGTAAAAAGGGAAGCAAAAACAAATAGAAAAAAGACAGAAACAGAGTGACATACAACAGTGTATATGTTACAGATTTTCAAAACAGGAATAGCTAATTAACAATGGGGTTTTTTTGTTGTGGGTTTTTGTTGTTGTTGGGTTTTTTTTGTTTTTTTTTTTGTTTTTTGGTTTTTTTTTTGCGGAACTGGGGATTGAACTCAGGCCCTTGCGCTTGCCAGGCAAGCACTTATTCTACTGAGCTGTCTGCCCAGCCCCCTGCAAAGGTTGTTAAGTCATCTATTTTATCATCAAATCTGTTGCTCAGATTAGCAGTTGTACATATACAATATTGGACAAATAACTGAATATTAATGCTTGCTCCTCTTAGATTTCTTTTGCATTGAAAAATACAATCTTTCTTTGTCCTTGCTTCACCAATGTCACTAATACTTTAATTTTATTTATTTGTTTGTTTATCTTTTTTGAGTCAGAGTCTCATTAGTGCAGTTTAGGCTGGCCTTGAGCTCACTTTGTACCCCAGGCTGGTCTTGAACTGGCAGTGATCCTCTCGGCTCAGCCTCCCAAATGCAGGACTTTAACACAGGAAAATATCTAGAAGGGGAATAGTTGGGTCGAATAGAATTTCTAGTTTCAGTTTTTTGAGGAATCTTAATGCTGATTTCCACAGTGGTTGTACTGCTTGACTTTCCCACCAACTATATAGAAACGTTCCTTTTCCCCACAGTCTCCAGAGCACTTTTTATTATTTGATTTTTCTTGATAGTGGTCATCCTTCCTACAGTAAGATAGAATCTCAGTGTTTTGATTTGCATTTCTCTACTGGCCATGATGAGCTCTTTTTCATGGGCTTATTGGCCATTTGTGCTTCTGTGAAGTGCCTGTACATTTCACTTGCCCATTTTTTGATTGAGCTTTTTATTTTGAGGATCTCTTTTTTTTTTTTTTTTTTTTTTTTTTTTTTAGTTCTTTATGTATTCTAGATATTAGTCCTCTGAGGAACAGCTGGAAAATTATTTTTTCCCTTTCTGTAGGTTGTCTCTTCACTCTTAGTTGTTCCTTTCGCTGTGTAGGAGCTTCTAAATTTCGTATTCCATTTGTAGATTCTTAGGATTATTTCTGGTACAACCAGGGTTCTGTTCAGAAAATCCTTGACTATGCCTAAGACTTCAAGAGCTTTACCTGTTTTTCAGGGCAGCGTGGTACACACCTGTAATCCCAGCACTTTGGAGGCTGACACAAAAGGATCCCCATGAGTTCAAAGCCAGCCTGAACTACATAGCAAGACTCTGTCAAAAAAAACAAAATAAAATAAAATAAAAGAGTTTTAACTGTTTTGTCTTCCAGTAGGTTGTCTCTGTTTCATCATCTTGTTCTTTGATCCCTTTTGGTTTCACGTTAGTAGATGGTGAGAGATACGGGTCTAGACTCGATATCTGCATGTGAACAGCCAGTTTTCCCAACACCAGTTATGTTATAAAGCTGCTGCAAGTTTTTTAAAAACCAGCCTGGTATTAGCACAAAAACAGACATTCAGTGATTTTACCTTCAAAGATGGGGCCAAAAACAAACAGGAGGAAGGATAGCCTTAAAAATAAAAGTTAATCTTTTCATTCTCCAGGAAGAGTCTACTTTTATACAACTAAAAGAAGTGGCAAGTTTCCATAATTATGTGTAGCCGTGGAGTAATTCATTCTGCCTGAAGGGGATATAGCCAAAAATTGTAACAAGCATGGAGATTTCAGAGCATTTAATGGCGGCACGCTAAGTTCCTGGAATTGGCTGCTGCAGTACAGATGGGGGTGTAATGAAGACTTGGACTGTTCTGTCTAATGGGTGATTCGAGTAGACCGTGAAGGGTCTTGGCATGGAAGCAAGGCATAGGAGGCTCATGTGTTATTTTCAGGTGATCATACCACATCGTGAAGTCATGCTTGAAAGCAAGCAACGTCAGAGGAAGGGATGGTCCCCACCTCCAAGTGTTCCCAACCCTTGTGTTGCTGGCGTAGTAGCAGGTGCTATGAGACCTCTCGTATCTGGACCTCCCAGAAGCCTCAGCTCATGTGCACCACTGTGCCTGTGGCCTCTTGTTCTTAGAAATGCAGAACACTGTTGCCTGTGTGCTTGGCAGATCATAGTAGTGGAGAATCATAGACACCACACACCCACAGGTAGGTTGGCTCCTGTCACCCTCGCAGGGTACCTCGGAGATGTATATTTTGCACCAACCCTTACAACTTTCCTGCAGTGTTGAGCTCTCGTGCCCACTATTTACATATTTTGTTAGCTGCCTTTTCTTCCTTGTAGCGCAACCACTTATCCCAGCTCCTATGTACCTCTAAGATTACCTACCTACCCCCTAATTCCCATATCGGGGCCTGCATCTGGGGCAAGCAAACACCTTGAGTTTGGAGTCTACCCAGATATACCCTGGCATAAAGAAAATACCAGGAGAGTACATTCAAGGATTAAGTCAGTGCACTAGTTCATGTTTTCCAAATTACTTGAAAATTGTCCTATCTGGATGTACCTTATCCTTGTCATAGTGATGTCAAAGAGGCTGGCAATGAGGTGGCACCGAAGCTTATGAAGAAATTCTTGAGCAAAGCAGACATCTGGAGAATGTCCTGCATTGCCCACATGTAAGAGTGAGAATCAAAAACGTTTAAAAGCTAATACAGCCTGGACTTCAGCTGATCACGAGAGCCTTATACCACAGGCTGCCACACCAGCTGGCCGTTGGCTTTTCCCAAGGCAACAGATTCCTGGTTCTGCAGTGATCCAATCCCCAGGTAAGGGTGAGAGGTCCATGTGCAAAGAAGGGTTGGCTCGACTTTCCCCAGGGGAGCTCCCGTGCAGGTAGCAATGATTTTGATTCCTTCTAGAAAGAAGTGACAGGAAGAAACATCCACAGAGAGAGCTAACAGCCCAGGAGGGGCCACATGGTCAGGAACCTTCATACTCCAATACATTCATACTCTATGGACTATGCAGTAGGAGTCATAAATGGCACTCGTTTCTTCCTAGGGAATTCTCTCTCATAAATCATCTGGGATAAACCAAAGAGCACAGTAGGCAAGGGGTGGGTGCATATTGGACCCCAATCCAACCAACCAGTCCTTCCCTGGGACTATGGGAGTGAGGGATAATGAGGGGTGGTCTTTGGAGTTCATTTGTGCAGTGAGGGGGCTGCTTCAAGCTACTAATATGGCTAACTGCTCTTTCCTAGACCCAAGTCACCTGGCTCCTTTTCCCTTTCATTTCTGTATCTTTCATTTTTTCGGGGGGGGGGGGGCTTTCTCTCATTTCCCTATCTCACTATATAGTTTAGGCTGGCTTTGAACTCATTTCCAGGTAATCCGGACTGGCTTTGCATGTGTGCCAGTCCTCCTGCCTCAGCCTCCTGAATGCTGAGAATATAGGCATGCCCCATCACACTTTTCTTCATGTTCTTGGTTGGTTCTGTGAGCCCTCTAGTAATTTTATTGTCAAACATTTCCATAAGTGTCCACTTTCCACTTACGACTAAAGAACCATAATTAATCTGGGTGCAATATGCTTCTCTTCAGGTGTGTCTTTTGGGCAGCAAACCTTTGAGAAAGGTTTTGGCAGTGAGTCCTGAAAATGGAAGAAAAGAAGCCAGTGTGTGGATCTTCCATAAGCAGGAGGAGACATGAAAGGACGTGGTGTCCGTCCTTGGAGGTCACTGCAGGCGCGCAGTTATTTTAGAGGGCTGGAATTCCATCTGTGACTCCTCCCTGCCCCTGGGTGGACTGGCCACCGAACCGGGAAGTGCTATAAGCAACACTCTTGTGGTTTGGGCAGACGCTGGGAAGTGGTTCAGGTCAGGCTGACTCCATTTCTCGGTAGTAATTCTGGTAGGGAGGGTCTAGGTAGACACTTAAATCATGGTGTACGCAGGCGCTGAAATTAGGAAAAACACGAAGCCTTGGGGAATACGCAGACATCACATCGTCATCCCACACTGACTGCGGAGCACTTGTATCTGACTGTGTATTCATGGGAACCATAGTGTATGTTGGGCAGCTTGCTCGCTTTTCCTTTCTTCCTTCTTTCTGTGGTGCTAGGGATCAAATCTGGGGCCTTGCACGTGCCAGCAAGCCTCCCATTAAGCCACAGTCCCACCTCCTCCTTAATGCTTATATTTATCAGGACAATTGGGAAATAAATTTTCTTTTGTCATTTCCATCCTGTCTTTCTCACTGTTGGGCCCATCACATTCAGAGCAAACTCTCACCAAAAAAACCATCTGAAAAACCTCCAGTGTGGCTTTGCCTAGAAGCCATGCGTTTTATAGAATCGAGCGCGGGCAATCACATCGTCAACATAGCCTGAGTCAATGTCTTCCAGGGCGGCAATGGCTTCAGCTCCTGACTTGAAGGCAGAGAGACCACCTAGAATGAAGCACAGGCGCTTAGACCTCCCTGGGAATGGGGGTGGGGGATGTGAGGCGAGCACCCTTAGCTCAGCGTGCTCCTCCACCTCCTTCCGGAAAGATGCACTACCCGAGGACCTCTGGGAGGGTTCCAGTTTTCTTTCTCTCTTTTGAACTTTTTTTTTTTTTTTGTCTTGTTTCAAGTGTCAAATTCGCTTTTCGTGTAATCAAGAGTAAGCAAAACCGGATGTGTAGCAAATCTGAAGTCTGAGATGGTAGCATTACCTCATTTATTCAAGAATTCACTCATGGGCTGGCAAGATAGCTCAGCAGTCTAAAACCTGCTTAGGCATGCTTAGGCATTCATTCATTCAATAAGTGTTGTTTCAAAAAATAAAATAGGGGAAGAGGAGTCCCACTCGCAGACAGAAGGAAGATAAGGAGGAAGCAGGCAGATCTTTTTTCAGGTGGAGAGGAGAACAAGGGATGGAGGGAGGGAAGGGAGATGGGGGAAACAGAACTGAAGGGGGAGAAAGTTCAGAGTGCAGGCTGGGAAACGGAGTGGAGAAGGGGCCGCCTGCACACTGGGTCTCCAGGAGGCCAGCCAAGGAGCTGGTGTGGCTGCGTGGAGCGGAGCAGCGAGGGAGCCCGGAAAGCTATCTGGCTTCCAACTGCCATTACATTAGGGGTGTCACCAAAGACACAGAAAAGTAGCAGACACAGTGGGAAGCTAGCAAGTCCTCCAGTCTGGGAGATTCTGGGCTGGAGAAGGCTTGCGTTCTGCCCAGCTGAGATTCTCATTTGGATTTTTCAGAGCACCTGAAGCCCTAAGAATGCTCACAGGATGAAATCTTATTCAAACATTTTGGGAAATGGTTAGCATCTTCTTGAATCTAGGAAAACCTCTGAGAAGAAGGTAAGCATCCACTTGGATTTTGGCATTGCTCGGGCTTAATAAAGGACAGAAGATACGACAGGAGCCCCACAGCCTGCAGCCAGGTGAAGAAGCTGGCAAACGTGAACCACTCAGAGAAATGCCACTTCGCCCCTCAGCCCCCTGCTGCCGGGCAGGATGAGCCCAGGGAGGCTCCGAACACACCTGACGCCTTCTCTTTTGCTGCTCATTTAACAAAGCACCAAGTACACGGCCTACCTTTGAGGTGCTGGTCCACACTCCACATGGGGAATTTTCTCTGGATCACCTTAATGTTTTCTGCTAGAATCCCCACACCCTGCGAAAGGTGTTCTTTGCTGTCCCAGGCACCGGTTGGGTGAATATTTTTATCCAGCTGGAAAATCCAGACATTAACATCAGCATCTCTGTCTTTCTGCTGCTCCAAATTTCTCCTCCCAGGGTTATTGAGTTCACAGATGCTGCCTCAGCGCCTTTCTTTTGTCTCCCAAAAGTTCACGGAGGAGAGAGAGAAACAAAGGCAGGCTTGGAGAAGCAGATCTGTGTGGTTTAGCTAAGTGCACTAATATTCAAGAAGAGGCAGTGGGCAAGGAGGAGGAGCCCCAGGAGCCGAAGTGGCTTTCGAACAATGGGCAACCAACGTCTAGACATCGGCAGTAAAAAAGAAAAGATTCCCAAGTAGTTCAAATGAAAATTGGCTTCTAACTCAGAAGCCTGAAGCCTGGACTTCTAGATACAGTGTAAAATAGATCCTGAAAATACCTAGATAATTTGGATCTTTCTCTTCACTTTACCCTAAGGAAAAAAAGTTGGTCCACGTAGGGCCTGGTTACAGTTCACCTGGGTGACATTTACTACTTTGTGGACCCCAAGAAACACCTGTAACAACTTTCTATAAAATTCTCTCAGTTGAAGTATATTGCATATTACTTATTGTAGAATTCTATTTATGATTCCTATAAACCTTTTTGTTGTTGTTGTTGTTGTTGTTACCGAGGAGCCAATCCAGTGCCCTTGCATGAGGTACCTCCCAAGCCTGTATATTATTGTTTATTTTGAGACAGGGTCTCAGGCTGGGGAGATAGCTCAGTGGTGTAAGTGCCTGCCTGGAAGGCAGGGTTCGATCTCCAGTACCTCATGCCTTGTAGCCTGTAAGCACTGGGGAGGCCGAAGCAGGAGGATCACTACAAGTCTGAGCTGCATAGCAAGACCGTGTACCAAATACATAAATAAATAAATAAATAAGGTCTCGCTAACTGCCTAAATGACCCAGGCTGGACTCAAACTTGGTGATCCTCCTGCCTCAGCCTCCCAGAGTGCCAGCATGACAGGTAAGGGCTAGCACCCTGCCTGGATATCTAAAATATTTTAGAAGAGATAAACTGATAACCCCTTCATGAGCATCGGACAAGTTGCAGAAATCTCACACTGGATGATAGTAAAAGCCCTGTCCCCAGAGGCTGGTCTCCAGCTGGGGCTGAGCTTCCAGTAGGGAGGACAAAGCCCCAGTACCTGCATCAGGCCGAACTTCAGTCCCCTGTGGTCCCAGCCACGCTGCAGGACGGTGCCGCCATGGCTCTCTCTGGAGATGACGGCTGCGATGAGCGCGGGATCCACGCAGTACCTCTGGCCCACTTCCTTGATCAGAGTCTGGTAGGGCCTGATAGAGTTCAGGTCCATGTCGGCAAACATTTCAGAACCACGGATCCCTAAGGCAACAGAAAAAAGACTGCTTCCCCATTCTGGAAGAGGGCCCTTTTTCCTTTTTTCGGATTCCTGTTTTGTTGAGACAGGGCCTCACTCTATGTATTCCAGGCTGGACTTGAACTTACTGTGTAGCCAAGGCTGGCCTCCAACTCAAGGTGATCTTCCTGCCTCAGCCTCCCAAGTACTGAGATTATGGCGTGTGCCACCACACCCAGCTCTGAGGGGCCTTTTAAAAAAAAAGTTTACTAAATTAGCTACAGCCTCTGCCTGTTGCCCGCAGCCTGAATAACTATCCTGAGAAGCCCTTTCTCAGCCCTGACTATAGAAAGAGGACAGGTTTCCACTCTGTTTCTATTTCCTTGTCCTTTGGGACAGCTCTAGGCCAGGGGTCACCAGTCTGAGTCATAACCTTGCTCTGCCAGCATCTAGTTCTGTGCCAGGGAGGCCTGTCCTCGCTGCCGAGCCTCAGTGCCCTCAGTGCCTCAGTACATATAATCATTATGTACTATAAACACATGCTAATAAAAATTTAAAGTTTTTTTTTTTAATTCTAAAACTTGGGGAAAACCCCAAATGGAATTCTTCCCTATAATATTTATTTTACAAAGAAAGGTACCGTCCCTGTTACCTCAGAGTTCTGTCATTGGAGCCCCTCCAGCTCTGACCTGCTCCCATAGGGTAACAACAGGAAGAAGCATTGGGACCAAGGTCACCAAGGAGCAGAAGTACAAGGTACAGAGGCCTGCGTACAGCATTCATGTTGTCAGGTGGGGTGGTGCACACCTGTAATCCCAGCACTCAGGAGGCTGAGGCAGGAGGATTGCTCAATGGGTGTTGGAGCCCAGCTTGTTCTACATACTGAGACCTTGTCTCAAAAATCCAAAACAAAAGGATCTGTGGCTCAAACTAACTGAGAAAGCAGGCATGACCTAGTAATACCGGTCACTTCATGGAACAACTCTACGGTCCCCATGAGGACTTGAGCAGGTTTTTGATAAAATGACCTGGACATGACACTCACATGGAAAATATGTGGCCATCAAGACTTGGCCATCCTGTACCTTCACAATAGCCCACTCTAAGTTTTAGGGTGCATTACCCCCTGTGTTTCCCACTTTTACCTGAGGCAAATGCACTCTGCAGAGCCTGGGTTTTTCCTATGTTTAATAAGCATGAAAGTTTGCAACCCGTTATGGTTTTCATTTCATTCCTTATTTAGGACAGAAAGAACCTGGAAATCACCTCTAAAAGGGACTCCAGCACCCCAAAGCCCAGTAACAAACCTCTCACCTACATCTCCAGTCTCTTTTTTTATTTTTTATTTTTTGAGACAAGGTCTTGCTAAACTGCTGTTTCCCAGGTTAAGCTCAAACTTGTGATCCTCCTGCCTCAGATTCCAAAGGTGCTGGAGTTACAGATGTGTGCTAACTGCCCAGATGAATTCTGGTTTTGTCTTTTTTTTTTTTAATATCATGTGATGATATTTCATAATTAAGTTACTCGTTAAGAAAGAAGTAGATGGGAGGCAGACGCTGTACATTTGTGACTTCCCACTCACCGCAGCTGAGCAGGTTTGTGATGTCGCAGCGCACCCCAGAGGTCTCCATGGTCGTGATGTCCCCGTAGCAACCGTGGTACAGGCGGGGGTGCAGGTGGGGCCGCAGGGCATGAGGGAAAGGGTAGGAGCCCCTGCTCGTGCCTGGGGGCAGAAGAATTAATTCATAGGAAGCCTGGGAGAAAATATTGCTGGAGGTACTATTACAAAACTACAAACCAACAAAAACCACAAAAGAAAGCCAAGGCTGTAGATGGTGGGGATCTTTCTCAAGTCCCCTTTGATCACTTTCGGATCTTCTGTCAAGAGTACGTCCTGCCCACACTCTCCAAACTCTTTTGGTTGTGCTGTGTTTTCAATACAGCTCTTAATTCTAAAGCACCTTGCAAAGCATTATGAAAATCAGTCCATACAGGCCTCAGATATATTTGCTGCAGTCTTTTGTGTTTTTTTATTGAGACAGGGTCTCACTGGCCCTGAGCTATGGAACCTAGGCTGACCTTGAAACTGCGGTGATGGGTCCTCCTGCCTCAGCCTCCCAAGAGCTGGACTCTCTTGCTCTGCTTTTGATCATAGTAACTGGAACCATTAGACCTGGGTCCTACATTTATTACAAGAAGCTAATTTTGTTAAAATATTGGATGTGAAAAATATCAGGACTGGGAGTGCAGCCCAGTGGTAGAGCACTTGCCCAGAATGCTTGAGGTCTTGAGATTGATTCCCTGTACCCCAGTACTATTCTTCCTTAATGACACAAACTGTTTTATAGTAGATTTGACCCACCTACCATATTCACAGCTTGATGGACTTAACAGTATAAAAAGACTGCATATTTTAGAATTGGGTGTATAACAAATGGAAGTAAAAATAATTAAGATGTGTTAGGAACACGTACCCACTCCCTATGATGAATGTAATCGTTATGTACTATAAACACATGCTAATAAAAATTTAAAGTTTTTTTTAATTCTAAAACTTGGGGAAAACCCCAAATGGAATTCTTCCCTATAATATTTATTTTACAAAGAAAACAAAAAAAAAAATCCTCTAAAGATTAAAAGCTACAGATTTAGAAATACATATTAAAAAAAAAAAAAAAAAAAAAAAAAAGCAATGTTCATGGAAACAAAGACACAGTCCCAACCTGTTCTCTCACATCCACAAGCAAGCAAAGAAAAGAATTGTAAGTGGACCAGAAAGTTAAGCAATGAAATGATCAGGCAGGCTGGGGATACTGAGAAAGTCTGCCTGCATAATGAGGGGAGCAGAAAGCCTTAAAGCCACTGTTCTCTAAAAAGCATGTGTTTTCACAACACCCACAGGTCAGCCACCATCACGCAGGCAGCCTCCCTTGGGCCCACACTGTGGGCTGGAAGACATTTGACCCCATGCTCTGCAGGTTCTGTTTCCAGGAATTCAACCACTCATGAATCAAAAATATTGGGGTGTGGGAACCTTTATCCCTAAATAGCCCCTGGTTCCCAAAGAATTTAGTGTAAGGCTGAGGGTGTGGCTCAGCGGGGGAGCACTTGCCTAGCATGGCAAGACCCTGGATTCGATCCCAGCACCTCAAAAACAGAAGCACATAGAGCAGTACAGTGTTCACAGTGACCTCCTGGCGGTTCACTGTACTTGGCACAAGAAGCCCTTCCATAGTCAGAGTCGCCTGCAGGAGCACACAGGTAATCCAGAAACACATAACTAGTCCTCTGGCCATCTAGCTCTGGCACTGCCCGGCAATTAGAAATGAGTAAAAACAGAAAACTATCTTGCTCTGCTTTTGATCTTAGTAACTGGAAGCTGCTGCTTTTGGGAACCCCCCCCCCCGTTCTGAGCTTAGAACTGAACACTTCAGAAGCATTTCTTTCTCAGCCATCATTGCAGAAATAAGGCAGCTCGACCATTGCTTGCAGCGAGGGGCTCTTTTGTTTTCCTTAAGTTAAAGGTTTCTCTCTTTTCTTTTTCAAGATCTCTTATCCTTTTATCAACTTTATCAACTTCCAACTCACAGCCACCATCACCACCATCTTTTTTTTTTTTAAACGGGGTCTTGCTATACTGTGCAGACTAGTCTTGAACTCGCTGTGTAGCCCAGGCTGGCCGCCAAGTTGTGGCGATCTTCCTGCCTCAGCCTCCTGAGTGTTGGGATGAGAGGCGTGTGCCACCGCGCTCACCCAGCACTTCCCATAGAGACACCCCTCCCTGTTCCGGTCCCGCTGACCTGTTCACTGTATCCCAAAGGCCTTGCATGCATTTCTGCTTCTGTATCCATTCCTGGTGTCATTGTTTTCATGCAGCAGGCCCTTCCCTTATCACAGAGGGTCCCCAAGCATCCTCCAACGTCACATCCTCCCCAGAAAGCCATTCCAGTGTGGGCCTCCTAACAGGACCCCCCAAATCTACTGTATTTTATCTCTATCCATATAACTCTCCCCTATTGCCTGGCACTGGTGATTTGTCATAGTCTTGCCTCCCAAGACCCTGGTCTGTAGATCTCTTAGATCAGTGACTTAAGGGGAAACCACTGAGCCAAATCTGAAGCTTGTCTACCAACCTTGTACAGGACAAAGATTCAAAACTCGGCAGGTGCACTGTCAGACAGGAAGTAAGGAGATCCTTTGCTATTACTGTAAGTTTTCACTCATATTGCCACCTTCTTGGTGAGCAGAATACACTCTTATTTACAGAAATAAGCAGTGGGTTCGTGGCCAGGCAGGTCAGAAGTGCCCAGCCTACCATTGCATGGAATCAGTGCTTTGTTTTTGTCACCCTGTGATCAGTGACCAGCGCCGTCAGGGACTCACCAATGACAACAGTCAGTCCCACAAGCACGATGGAGGGCCACATGGTGGTGAATCTTATCCTGTGGGACCTGTTCTGATGTTAAATAGAAACTCGTTAATTTCAAGATTTGGCTTCCCAGGGTTGCTTGGTCATCAACCCGTTTCAATCCCAGTTCATCCCAACCCGGCCCACCCACAGCTTGTGAATGTGACCCCCGCACACTTATTCTTGGTTTCATTCAGAAGGTAGCTTATAAGGCTAACAAGACAGGAGAAGACCATCACTTACCTGTTTGCACCCTCCTAGAGAAAAATGTCCCCACTCCCTTTGAGCAGGTCTCCTGTAGCTCAACCTGTGGGTTAAGATGCAGAGAAAGAAATTTACAGAGTGGTGGACTTTGTCCTATGACCTGGGAGTTGGAGAATCCGTCAGTCACTAGGCCACTGTGCCTCTCCTCCACTTGAGCAGCCTGTGGAGGACACAGCCGCACACCCCATATACACTCACCTGCCTCCTCTCGCCCTCCTCCTCTATCACAGATTGGTGAGGCAGCTTTATATAGGGTTTAAAGCCCTCTCTTAAAACTACTGACCTCATTAGGCCTGATTATAATAGTACTTTGGATTTAGGTGGCCCCTTTAATGAAAGGACTTCAATGTGTTTATTAACCACAAGTAATTAATTAGTCTAATGAACCCCCAGGTTGCACTGGAGGCATCTATTTGATGGGTTGTTTGTGGATACCTAAAGTTGTGCTAATAAGACAGGGCAAAGGGGGTGAGGAACACTCCCAACCCAGTGAACTAGCGTCACTGTACCAGAGCCAATCAGAAACATGCTACTTTGGTCCAATCAGAGACTAGGTACTTTCAGTCCTTCCTTTAAATCTGTTGCTGTTCACTGGACCAATCCAAAGATGCCCTCTTCAATCCTTCATGTGGACACAGCCAATCAAAAGACACTATTTCTGATCCTTTGTTTACATATAAGAAGTCAAATGAGTTTTCTGTTTTATTGTTTTTGAATAGGAAAGTTATGTATGGCTTGATGTCAAGTGAACATTCCTAGATAGACTGCCCCAGTGCCTTATCTACATAAAGAAGCATACAGGAGAAATTTTGAATACAAAGGAGCCCTTTCTCTTACCCTGTGGGACACCGCACTTTTTCATGGGTCTACTCTCACTCTGCAGCATGTGCTCTTCTTCTGCCTTTAGCAAACATGTACTTTCATTCTCTTTTCTTTGTGTCTTATCCAGTTTTCTTTTGAGGACCCCAAGAATCTGGAAAAAAGCCCCAAGAGACTCCCCATTCAGTAACACCATGATTACCCTTAAACAGATAAGGAAACAGGAAATACTGGCAACTCTTATTCCTGGGCTGGTGGTTTGCCTGAAATGCAGAGTTCCCTGTTCCCATGTCACATGACCCCAAAACCACGTCACATGATCTCATTCTACCATGTCACGTGACCTTGATGGCTGAACTTGTTCCTTGCTCCTGACCCAGATGAGGTCCCTGCTCTGGAAGTGTGATGCAAAGCTGGGGAGTAGCCATGAAAGTGGTCACTGTCCAGACTTTCTGAGCGGGCGGATTTATCCAGGGATGAACATTTCTACAGGGGTAGCCATGGTTCTTCTTGTGCATGCCCAAACAGATGAAACGCCTGTGCAGGCCCAGGAAATTAGAGGAACTTTCTTTCTTTGGTTTTTGAGACAGCGTCTTACTGTGTAGTTCAGGCTGGCCTGGAGCTCACTGTGTAGCTCAGGCTGACTTTGAACTCCAGGTGATCCTCCTATCCCAGCCTTCTGTGTAGTGGGATTTAGGATGTGCCACTACCCCCAGGGAGAATAACATTCTTGAACTAGGCAAAGCCATTTCCCAGGGGGGAAGTCTGGCCAGCATCCTTCCAAAAGTGTAAGAAGCTTCTAAATCTGCACATAATTCCTCCGACATCCACTTGGAGCCAGGAAGTCCAAGGCACCAAGGCAGATGACTTTGCAGCCCCTGCAGTGGCTGCAACTCCTAGGAGAAAACGCCCACTGAAAGCAGGTCTCTGTCTCATCTCAAGGCATTCCTGTCTGTCATTTGTGCCTTCCTGCTGGCAGCACAGGCTGCCTTTCGGTGGCTTCCAGCCTAGCATCCAGGGAGGTGGGGCAGGGATGCTCTAGACTTACATGGAGTGAGAAAGCTCCAGAAAGGAGGAACAAGGAATAGGGAAAGAATTAAAAGTTAAAAGAGAGTGCCCAGAGGTTGGCGCTCTCCCCAGGTGCCCTTGGAGAAACGAGGCGTCAATAAAGCACCAAGAACTGTTGAACACAAAGCGTGTTTTATTTCACTCTCCACTTTCAGAAGAAGGGCTCAGATCCCTTCTAGATATGAGGACCTTAAAGTCCAGAACCTTTGCTACTTGAGTAATTGTTTTCAAATGTATTGATGATTCCATTTATTCATTGTGCAAATAAATGAAAATGTGACATACTTCATAAACCAGTTTTCATTGAATATAATTCACCCTCTTCTCCAGTAGTCCCGTGAAAGAGGTGTTGTTGTTTTAGACTTGAGGAAACTCACACTCAGAGAAGTCCCACACCCGTCGAGGCTGGCACAGTCAGCATGGGCAGAGCCAGAGTCTGAACTCAGGTCTGTGTACCTTCACAATCAATGCTTTTCTGGCCAGTGTGCTGAGCCAGTGACTTGCAAGGCAATTTATCGCAAAATGCCAGTGAATGGTGAGGATAGTAAATCCAGAGCACCTTTCTGTTGCTTTCTGTTCTCTCCATCAGCAAAGACCAGGTAGCTAAGATACACTGAACTTGTACAGTAGGCTTGGGAAATCACTAGTACAGGGCACCGCCTAGGCTTGTTGCAAAACATCACTTTCAACTCTTACACACCTCTGGAAGGTTAAGTGTTAGCTCTGTCCTACAAGAATCTGAGGCATTTCTTAGAGCCCTTCCCAGTCCTCCTTGAGGCCCAGGAAGTCTGTATTTGTAATCCCATGGATAAGTTATTGGAATCCCCTCAAGTTAATTCCAGTCTACCATACTCAGGCCAACCCATGGCAAGAATAAAGACACTAAGCCATATTTTGTAGATGTGGGGGGCTGAGGGGGTCCTAAGTCTGGCTAGGATGATGGTTATCTGGAACAAAGGCCTCAACCAGGGCTGAACTTGGGTCTTATTAATTGTGAAGAAGGGAGTAGCTTGCGGATGAGTGACTGTGACAGCGGGAGGAAGTAGGTGTGTGCTGTGAGCTGGGCCAGGCAGGAGGCCCGAAATCACCTCTGCAATACGCAGAGAAGGCTGTCCAGAAGGAGTAATCTGCATGACACGACTGAGATGGGTTCAGGGCTTCAGCTCTGATGTGTAACCTTTGGAGTCCCAGGAAGTCATAGCCTCTATCTCAGTGGGCACTGGCTCTTTATCCCACCTCCTCAGGCTTACACAAGCGAACAATGGGGACTCAGGGAAACACTGCCTGCCATCTTCGAAGACCACACATCAGCACCTCAGCTAAACTGATATGCATTGCTTAAGGCCAATCGAAGGAACAAAGGAAAGTCCTAGCCAGCTCTGTACATATCAACACATGGAAATAGGGTCCGGCTCAGCCAAAATGGAGACAATTGATCTTTCTTTTAATTTTTTTTTAATATATCCAGGGTCTCACTACAACAGCTCAGACTCAGACTGATCCTCCTGTCTCAGCCTCCCCAGCACTGGGACTACAGGAGCATACTACCATGCCCAGTTCCAGGGCCAGCATGGCATGTGGTACTGGAGATCAAATTGGGGACCTTGAGCTTGCCAGGCAGTTGCTTATGCTGTTGAGTTATCTCCCCAGCCCAACTGCTCCTCTTTTAAGGAGAGTCGCTCAGGCGGTCCTATATAATTTCTCGATTTAAATTTAAAATGAGGGCTGGAGAGATGGCTCAGTGGTCTAAAGCACCTACTTGGAACAAGCTTGGCAAAGCACAGGGACCGCGGTTCGATCCCCCAGCACCACATGCCAGCCAGCCCCACCCCCTGGTGGGCTGAGCTGGCCACACACATACACACACTAAATAAAAATGTAATAAATAAATAATTTTAAAAAAATAAATAAAAAATAAAAAAATAAATTTAAAATGAATTCAATGCTTCCCCATCTCTTTGCAGGGATGTCCCGCGTGACTCTGCCTATCAGTGGCATTGACATTGCCGGGAGGCAGTCTGCTGAGCGTGGTGTCACACACCTATAAGCTCAGCACCTGGAAGGCTGAGACAGGAGGATCACCCTGAGTGCAAGGCCAGCTTGGACTACATAGTGAATTAAAAGTCAGCTTGGACTAGTCTCACTGTCTAAAAATAAAGTTTCAAAAAAAAAAAAAAATCACCCAGTCAATCAATCATTACCTGCAAGCAAAGTGATTGCTACACAAGCGAAACTCCATGGCTGGTGCCTTCCACTCACTTGCTAATCCCGGAAGTGTCTCCGGCACCACCATTCCCTGGAAGGCTTCTTGAGTCCTGATGCCTTTGGGGTTCCTGCTATAGTGTTGATGACTCCAGTTACCCCAACATCAAAATGTCCTAAGCCGTTGACTTCCAGCCGACTGAGCAGTTTCACTGGGTCAGCCAGCTCAGGTGGTCTCACAACAGCAGGGATGGCAGGAGGAACCAGAGGCCAGGTTTGCAGCTGCCGCTCCGCCGGTCTTAGCAATGGTAAAGGACCGATATTGACATGGTTGTCCCAGGTCCAGGCAACAAAGCTGAGTAAGAACAAGTGACCCGTGAGGTCTCCTCTGGCTTCAACATCTGCCAGGGGTGGTGAGCCACGTCGCCCTGGCCTTCAGAAGGGGCTGTCCCAGTATGGAGGCCGAGACAGAGGCTGAAACAAACTCCATCCAGGCTACAGTTTGTGTTTTGTTTTGTTGTTTGGACACAGACTCACAGCCATGGGCCTCATGAAGCTTACACATGCCTCAGACTTTTTGAAATTTTAAGACGGGTGGGGTTGCCCAGGCTGGCCTTGAATTTGCCATCCTCCTGCCTCAGCCTCCCAAGGAGATGGGATTACCG